CTCACACCTGCCAGGGCAGATGGTCAGACCCATTGCACAAAGGAGGAACCCTAAGCTCGGAGAAGTTATTTATTCCAAAAGCCTGGGCTGTGTCAGAACTCTCCAATGGCAGAGCCATGCTCCTTCTAGAATGCCACATGCAAACCGTCACACGAAGTGGCTTGTCCAGTCAACCCTTCTACGCATTATTCTCAGCAAACAGTATGCAGCTGGTTCTGAATCAGAGTGAGTTTCCATTATGAAGGTGCAACTTACCACAACAAGGCAATGGAGAGATGAAGCCCATGGAAACCTAAGGCACCTATGAGGACAGGGTGGGAGCCCCCCCACAACCTGAAATCATGTGTAGAATTGTGTGTGTGTGTGTGTCTGTGTGTGTGTCTGTGTTGGGAGGTCTGTGTGCCTGTATGTGTGTATTGTGTATGTGCATTTTTCTAGAGATATGGTCCAAGACCTTCATCACATTCTCAAATAGCTCTCCAAACCCCTCCACCCAGGTTAAAAATAAATTTCAAAGGCAAGAATGCCTAAGCAGTGAATGAAAAAGACACAAAACATCTTTTCCTTATTAAATCCACCCACCTTAAAACCAAACATTCAACACTGTGATATCATTTTGCATCATATAGGTTTTCTGAAGGAAGCACCAGGAAGATATATGCAGGGTGCTGGGCTTTGGAGAAATTATGGAGGAGGCTGGAGATCCTTGGGCAAAAAAAACCCGTCTTATTAAGGACTGTATTTCCTATCAAAGTAGTAAATTGTATTTGGAAACACTTCCTTCCTTAACTACATTTTTCCATGATACAATGTACTTTGCTAGCTTCCTGCAGCCAAATTAAGCAGGTGGTCTCTGAACATAAGTTTAAATTATGATACTCCAATAGAAAATCAAATCAAAGCTCCAAAAGTCTGCTTTTTTAAGCAGGTGGTCTTGAAGTGGGTTTTACTGCAATAATAGCTAATATCTCAGGCTTTCCGGAAAAAAAAACAAAACCCTTCTCCTACAGCATTTCTAATCCAAACCCTACATCTTGCTCATAACGTTGCTTTAAGAAATTTTTCACACTTCAAAACATAAATTACCAGAAAATTATGTGATAATTCTGATTTTACAGAAAGGTTCTTTGATTTACCCGGACTCCTTTCTGCTGAGTGGCTGGAAGCAAGCCCTTTCTCTTTTCTGACTTCCACATTCCAGTGTGCAAAATGAGGGGGTTGAATTAAACCAGACGGCGTAAACCCGGGAGGTAGAGCTTGCAGTGAGCTGAGATCCGGCCACTGCACTCCAGCCTGGGCAACAGAGCGAGACTCTGTTTCAAAAAAAAAAAAAAAAGGAAAAAAAGAATGATAAATTTCAATTAGAGAACATCTTTATAGTTACAAATTAAAGAGGAAAGTGGAATTGCCCATAAATGCCCCATTTAGAAAAACCACCCTGAGACTTCGAGTCTTGAGGTCACACACCTTAAAGTCAGATATGAGTCTGCCAGCAGCTCAAACATATTTAGTCTTTGGAGTTTTGCTCAAGCACTGTACCACTGGGAAGGCAAATACAGAAAACTCATTTTTTCCTTTTAATATCTATTGAGCAAATTCCACTGACGGTGAAGCAGGAGGACCAACGGGGCCTGTCAACAGCATCAGGGTAAACAGACTTTAAACAAATAGAGGCTTTTTGCGCTGCATGAAAACAGCCTCGGTGGCTGCAGTGTAAGCGGGATGCCTCAAGACCAACAGAAAGACATCTGGAGAAAATGTAAAAAGCATTTTAAGGTCTCATTAGTTATCTTGGTAACATGTCTCACTAACAACGCAAGCTCCTCCCTCCCAAATACTACTCCTTAACCTATCCCCGAACTAGCCCTAGGAACGTGCTGGTAGAGGCAGGGTCAGACGGTGTGGGCACGGTTTGTACTGGTGTGGGCAGGGGTCAGTAATGCGTGGATAGAGTCAGTACTACTGTGGGTTCGGCCAATGTTCGTGGCGGCGTGGTCACTTCTAGTGTAGGCATGATTAGTTCTGGTATGGGCACGTCACTGCTGGTGCCAGGGTAGCTACAAAGCACCAGCTTAGGAGGCCCAGCCAGTAGGTCCTACAGGCCACGCAGAATTGGGGTCCCTCCGGGAACACATGAGAGGATGGCCCTGTGCCAGCCTGCTATGCACGTCCTGCCATGTCATCACCTCACACCTGCCAGGGCAGATGGTCAGACCACAGAGACTGGCGTGCTTTTGTGGCTGGCTGGTCTCAACTGCCGACCGTCAGGTGATCCCGCTCGCTCAGCGTCCCATACGGATTACAGGCGCTGAGCCACTGCACCCGGCCGGAGTTGTTTTTCCATCCGGAGCGGGGTTGTGTGGGGCAGATTTGGATATTTGGTTTTTCAACTTTTTCTGGATCGTGCGAAGTCGAGAAGAGAGAAGGGCTTGCTTCAGGCCCCACTCAGCAGAGAAAAGGATCCCGGGTACACATCAAGAAAAACCTCTTCTGTACAGAATCACGAATTATCGACATAATTCTTCGGTAAATTCTTTTTTGGTTTCTGGGAACTTTCTTCCGCGGTTTGGGCTTCGGTTCTTGGATTGAAATGCTCGTACGGGTTTTTCGTTTTTTTTTCGCGAAAGCTGAGAGATATTAAGCTATTATTGCAGACTAAAACCCACTTCAAGACCACCTGCTTCAAAAACAGAAGCACTTCTTGGGAGCCTTTAGCATTTGATTTTGCTGTATTGGAGTATCATAATTTAAGACTTTAATGTTTCCAGCACGACCACCATGCTTTAAGTTTGCTGGGGAGCTAGCAAAGTACATTGTATCACCGGAAAATGTAGTTAAGGAAGGAAGTGTTATCCAAGTACCACTTTACCCGATACATTTTGATAGGAGAAACTCAACAGTCCTTAAGATAAGAGGCCGTTTTTTTGATTGCCCAAGGCATCTCCAGCCTCCTCCATGAATTTCCTCCAAAGGCCCACGCACCCGCTGCCATATATCATTGTCCTGGTGCTCGTCCTTCAGAAAACCTATATGAGAATGCAAAGTGCATATCACAGTGGTTTGAATGTTTGGTTTATAAGGTGCGGTGGATTTACATAGAACGGAAAGATGTTTCTGTGTCTTTTTGGAAGAAAGAACACAAAAACATCTTTTCCTTAATTAAATCCACACCACACTTAAAACCAAACATTCAGACACTGTGATATCAATTTTGCATCATATATAGTGTTTTCTAGAAGGAAAGCACCAGGAAGATATATTGCCAGGGTGCTGGGCTTTGGAGAAAATTATGGAGGAGGCTGGAGATCCTTGGGAAGAAAAAAACCCGCTCCTTATTAAAGGAGCGTATTTATCCTATCAAAGTACACGTAAATTTATTATGGACAACACTCCCTTCCCTTAACTACATTTTCCTCCGTTGATACAATGTACTTTGCTAAGCTTCCGGTCAGCCAAATCTAAGCAGGTGGTCTCTGAACAGTACAGTTTAAGATTCTGATAACTCGAAGTAGCAAACTCAACTCAAGAGCAGCTCGGAAGTCTGACTTTTAGCAGGTGGTCGTTGACGCCTTTTACTGCAATAATACTAATATCTCAGCTTTCCGGAAAAAAAAAACAACCCTTTCTCTACAGCATCTCTCTAATCCAAAACCTACATCTTGCTCATACACGTTGCTTAACGAAATTTTTCCAACACTTCCAACTATCTTCACCAGGAAAATTAAACATGTCGTGAATTCTGATTTACAGAAAGGTTCCTTTGATTTACCCGAGACTCCCTTCTGCTGAGTGGCGGAAGCCAAGCCCTTTCCTTTCTGCTGTCCACATTCCCAGTGGTGCAGAAAGGAGGGGGGTTGACTTAACCAGAAGTTTACCAAATCGCTGTCCAGCAACAACCCCACTCTATTTTTAAAACTGAGACTGTCCGGCCGGGTGCAGTGGCTCACGCCTGTAATC